AACTCGGCCACGTAGCGAAAAAAAAAAAAAAAAACCGTGGTCTATATTCTCACCGAATTATTTCAGAAAACAATACCACATTCCTGTCCACTAGATGGAGATGATGATACGGAATTGATCTATTAGAAAACATACAGTGAAACTCTGTTCATCTTTCACACGTTTCTAACATTTGCGCAATGTTGTATAATTGGACCCCATAGTGTGATCAAGGCGTCCAGAAAAAAGAAAAAAAAAATATAAAATACATTCAGTGGGCCCGGAGTTGGGCCTTAAGGCTCGGTTCACATCTGTGCGGGTGGTGCCGCTGAGGATCCGCACAAAAATCTGCACAGAGGAATGCGGACCGGCGGGCGGGTGTTATTAATTCTAATGGCGCACCGGCTGCACTGGAAAACGCAACCGTACTGGGAACCTCAGCTGCGTTCTCCGAAGAAGTGCCGGGACTTCTTCCCTGCGGGGCACGGGAGTCCATTCAAATGGATGCGAAAATCGCGGAGACGTGAACCGGGGGTAAAGGACTTTGCACTTTCCTGCCGTGGCATGTAATTACTGTGTACTCTTGTTGTTGCTCTTTTTGCTTCACTCGTCGCTTCGTGTTCTCATGGTGTTTGCATCAATGCTTAGATCGCAGCGTATAGTTTGCATACAACACGTAAGGGGGGGGGGGGTTCATTGTTGAGGGATTTGTGGTCACTTTCACTTCCCCATATCAGTAAGGAGGATGAAGCAGAGCGTGCCCAGCGGTGACCACAAACCCAACCCCCCCCCCCCCCCGCGGAGTGTGGGAGGAAAACCACAGGTAGAGGTTTTGTTGTTTACCACATGGGCGCATCTTTTCTAAACCCAGTTCAGATCCTCCCCCCCTGTACACACCCCCCCCCCCCACCATGGTGCAATTTTTACATTTCTCCTATGAGCCTGTATATTCAGTGATGACTTTAACATTGCTTGACCACTTCCAGTCCGGACACTTTCCCCCTTCCAGTCCGGACACTTCCCCCTCCTTCCAGTCCGGACACTTTCACCCACTTCCAGTCCGGACACTTTCCCCCCCTTCCAGTCCGGACACTTTCACCCCCTTCCAGTCTGGACACTTTCCCCCCCTTTCAGTCCGGACGCTTTCCCCCCCTTCCAGTCTGGACGCTTTCCCCCCTTCCAGTCCGGACACTTTCCCCCCCTTTCAGTCCGGACGCTTTCCCCCCCCTTCCAGTCCGGACGCTTTCCCCCCTTCCAGTCCGGACGCTTTCCCCCCCTTCCAGTCCGGACACTTTCCCCCCCTTCCAGTCCGGACACTTTCCCCCCCTTCCAGTCCAGACGCTTTCCCCCCTTCCAGTCCGGACGCTTTCCCCCCCTTCCAGTCCGGACGCTTTCCCCCCCTTCCAGTCCGGACACTTTCCCCCCCCTTCCAGTCTGGACGCTTTCCCCCCCTTCCAGTCCGGACGCTTTCCCCCCCTTCCAGTCCGGACGCTTTCCCCCCCTTCCAGTCCGGACGCTTTTCCCCCCTTCCAGTCCGGACGCTTTCCCCCCCTTCCAGTCCAGGACGCTTTTCCCCCCCCTTCCAGTCCGGACGCTTTCCCCCCCTTCCAGTCCGGACGCTTCCCCCCCTTCCAGTCCGGACACTTTCCCCCCCTTTCCAGTCTGGACGCTTTCCCCCCCTTCCAGTCCGGACGCTTTCCCCCCCTTCCAGTCCGGACGCTTTCCCCCCCTTCCAGTCCGGACGCTTTCACCCCCTTCCAGTCCGGACACTTCCCCCCCTTCCAGTCCGGACACTTTCCCCCCTTCCAGTCCGGACACTTTCACCCCCTTCCAGTCCGGACACTTTCCCCCCTTCCAGTCCGGACGCTTTCCCCCCCCTTCCAGTCCGGACGCTTTCCCCCCCCTTCCAGTCTGGACGCTTTCCCCCCTTCCAGTCCGGATGCTTTCCCCCCTTCCAGTCCGGACGCTTTCCCCCCTTTCATCAGTCCAGACGCTTTCCCCCCCTTTCAGTCCGGACGCTTTCCCCCCCTTCCAGTCCGGACACTTTCACCCCCTTCCAGTCCGGACACTTTCACCCCCTTCCAGTCCGGACACTTTCCCCCCTTCCAGTCCGGACACTTTCACCCCCTTCCAGTCCGGACGCTTACCCCCCTTCCAGTCCGGACGCTTTCCCCCCTTCCAGTCCGGACGCTTACCCCCCTTCCAGTCCGGTCCCCCCCCCCTTCCAGTCTGGACGCTTTCCCCCCTTCCAGTCCGGACGCTTTCCCCCCCTTCCAGTCCGGACGCTTTCCCCCCTTTCAGTCCGGACGCTTCCCCCCCTTCCAGTCCGGACACTTTCACCCCCTTCCAGTCCGGACACTTTCACCCCCTTCCAGTCCGGACACTTTCCCCCCTTCCAGTTCGGACACTTTAGCCCCATGATCCCCGGGGGGGCCGCATGACTTGTCAGTCAGTCCCTGCATCAGAGAGGTGCCGCCCATAATGATTGGGAAGGGTGTAACCAAAAACCCGCATAGACAACAAAGAAAGAAAAAGTGTGAATACCCAATAGGTGAGTGGGGGGAGGGAGCGGTAAGACACATCTACCCTGCGTGCGTTTGGGGATGGGCCATCAGCAATGGGGGTTAGTAGAAGGTCCATGTGGAGGTGGTGTCCAAGTCCATCTGTAGTGGGGGGCTTGTAGTTGTATGGACTTGTCCGAGGAGGCAGCCGGCTCCGAGAGCTTGTAGATCCTCCTAATGCAGGTAGAGAAGAGACGCCAGCGCCACTCTAAGTGTAGACGGTTACAATCCGGCAGATTTCATGGTAAAATTGCACTCGGCCTGACGGAGGAGTGAGCATGCTCCGAACGCGCGCCATCTTGGAAACCCGGTCCATGCGGTGACATCATCTCTGTGAGCCTCCCTGCGCCCCTCTGCTACTCCCCGAGCCCTGGACACCACCGGAGCGGCGGGAAAACACCCAGAGCGCGGACATAGGACCTGATGCTCCCACTGGACCTCCATCACTTGACACACCTACCTGTTACCTACCTATGTGAGTGCAATTTTACCATGAAATCTGCCTGATTGTAACCGTCTACACTTACAGTGGCGCTGCCGCCTCTCTTCTCTACATGAACACCCAATAGGCTACCTCTACAAATCTCTCATTTATTGACTGAATCAATTTTATGAGTCAAAATTATTTTTGTAGAGGTAGCCCGTTGGGTGCTCGTGCCTTTCTTTGTTCTTCACGCATTCTATGCATGAAGGTCAAAAAACCTTCAGTATGCACCTCCCCCTCCCAATACTTACTCAAGCCCGACCACGATTCAGGCGGAGACATCAATGTATGCAGTCTTTTTTTTTTTTGACAATTTAAACTCAGAAAGAAGAGCTAAGCTTTGGAGCGTGGCTTCTATTTTTTTACTTCTGCCCGAGAGTGGAGAGGGGCTGGGGTCCCCAGAAAAATCTGGAGTGGAGCCGTGGGTTTAGATATGGGTTTTTACTTAAAAAAATAGTGAAAAGAAAAAAATGTAAAAGATCGATTTAAGAAAGTATCAATTATAACGACTAAACATGGGAAGCCGATACATAGCTTCCATTTAACCCCTCGCCCTCCTGAGGATTTACCCCCCTTAATGACCACGCCTCTTTTTGCTACTCGGCGCTGCACAAATTCAACTGATAATTGCGCGGTCATGCAACGCTGCACCCAAACGAAATTTACGTCCTTTTTTTCACACAAATAGAGCTTTCTTTCGGTGTAATTTGATCATCTGTGCGCTTTTTATTTTTCACGTTATAAACAAAAAAAGGGCAAAAATTTTGAAGAAAAATTATATTTTTTACTTTCAGCTATAAAAAATATATAGTAAACTCAAAGTTGGTTATAAATTTAGGCCAAAATGTATTCTGCTCCATGTTTTTGGTAAAACAAATCCCAATAAGTGTATATTGATTGCTTTGTGTGAAGTTATAGCGTCTACAAACTATGGGATAGATACTGCAATTTACACCATTTTTCTGCTATACAGCGCTGTGCTAGTTTAAACGGACAATTGCGCGGTCATGCAATGCGGTACATAAATGACATTTACATCCTTTTTTTCCCCAGAAACTGAGCTTTCTTTTGGTGGTATTTGGTCGCCTGTGCGGTTTTTTATTTTTTGTGCTTTAAAAAAAAAGGCTGACAATTTTGAGGAAAAAAAACAATATTTTGGACTTTTTGCTATAAAACATGTCCAGTAAAAAAAAAATGTAAAATCAAATTTAGTCATTAATTTCTGCCAAAATGCATTCTGCGACATGTCTTTGCGTAAAAAAAAAACCCAATACGTGTAAATTAATTGGTTTACGTGAAAGTTATAGCGTTTACAAATGGCGGGAAAGATACTGGGATTTTTAGGTTTTTTTTTATACTAATAATGGCGGCGATCAGCGACTTATGGCGGCGATCAGTGACTTATGGCGGGACTGCGGCGGACATTCTGACACTGGGGGGTACTGACTTGGGGTCACTGACATCCCCATTGACACCAATACAGTGATCAGTGCAAAAAAAAAAAACACTGACACTGTACTAATGGCACTGGGGAGGAAGGGGTTAACTTTATTTTTCAGGGAAGGGTTATCTGTGTGAGGGGAGTGTTTTACTAGGGGGCGGGGCGGGGGTGTGTACTGGATGGAGACACGCTGATCGGGAGAGAGAAACTCTTCTGTCCCGATCAGCTTGTCCTCGAGCTGTCAGGGAAGTGACAGAAAGCACAGCTACTGCAGCTCTGCTCTCTGTCACTGATTGCCACCGATCGCCGGGAGATAGCCGGTACGGACCGGCTGTGACCCAGCGACTGACATCCGCGGCTGTGATCGGCGGGAACAGGTAGGGCGGTGGCACGCCTCGCGCGCGCCCCCCTACCTGTTTACAAAACACACGTTTTAAAACGTGGTTTTGCCTGCCCGTGCCGCCCTGCCGCCATATTTATACATGGGCTGGGCGGCATTGTGGTTAATATTGTTGATTTCAGTCCTAGTACTTACCAGTGGGGTCAAAGTCCTGGAAGTAGTCTGGACAGCGCTGCTCGGAGATTTCTCCCATACGCGTGTCGCCCCAACATAGCCAGCCGTCCCACGTCCTGTTACAATACCGACCTGCAGGTGGAAATATAACAATTGTTGCCATTATTACATACAGTTTGAACAGCGTTTAACAATGGAAGGAGAGTCGGGACGGATACATTACAGTTCAACACACGAGGGTTAGGACAGCCCTGCTCCTGAGAGCTTACAATCTAAAATGTGATACAAAAGGTAATGACTGTGGGGGGGGAATCAACTGATGGAGAAAGTAAAGGTACAGTTGTTGGGTGGAGATGAGGTAGGCTTCCCTGAAGAGATGAGTTTTCAGGGATCACCTAAAGGCTGACAGAGTAGGAGATAGTTGGACAGATGGGGGTTAGGGAGTTCCAGAGGAAAGGATAGACTTTGGGGAAGTCCAGCATATGATCATGGGAGGAGATGATGAGGAAGCAAAGGGTCTTGGGACACAAAATTGAGGTAAGGGTTTCCAAAATAAGGGAAAGGCTCTACAGAAGACCTGGAGGTGAGCATGGGGGGAGGTGGTCAGAGTGCTACGGAGCAGGAGGTCTTGTGGCAGAAATTGGAGTAAGGAGTTCCGAAGGCTGGCAGGGGCTCTAAAATAGTCCTGGCAGATAAGCGTGGGAGAAGCTGATGAGGGAGCTAGAGAGCAGGAGGTCTTGGGCCTGAAATTAGGGGTAGGGAGTTCCAGTGGATAGGAGAGGCTCTTGAAAATTTCTGGAGGTGAGTATGGGAGTAGGTGGTGAAGGAGCCAGAAGGCAGTAGGTCTTAGGATGAAAATTAGGGTAAAGAGTTCCAGAGAATGGGAGGAGCTCTGGAGAAGTCCTGGAGGTGAGCATCGGAGGAGGTGAAGAGGGAGCTAGAGAGTAGGAGGTCATGGGAGGGTCGAAGATTTGGGTGATATTTTGAGACAAGGCGGGTGATGTAGCTCGGGGCAGAGTTGTAGATGACCTTGTACTGTATGTCGTTGGTATATTGAGTTTTATTTGTTGGGCATTCAGAAGCCAGTGGTGGGATCAGCAGGTAGTGGACACTGAGTGGAAGCCAGTGGAGGGATCAGCAAAGAGTGAGCACTGAGTGGAGGCCAGTGGAGGGATTGGCAGAGAGGGGTGGAAGACACTGAGTGGAGGACAGTGGAGGTATCGGCAGAGAGAGGTCTGGAGCACTGAGTAGAGGCCAGTGGAGGGATCAGCAGAGAGGGGTGGAAGACACTAAGTGGAGGTCAGTGGAGGGATCAGCAGAGAGAGGTGATGAACACTGAGTGGAAGCCAGTGGAGGGATCAGCAGAGAGGAGTGGAGGACACTGAGTAGAGGCCAGTGAAAGGATCAGCAGAGAGAATGGAGGGTACTGAGTAAAGGCCAGTGGAGGGATTGGCAGAGAGAAGTAGTGAACATTGAGTGGAGGCCAGTGGAAGGTTAGGCAGAGAGGGGTGGGAGGACACTGAGTGGAGGCCAGTGGAGGGATCAGCAGAGAGGGGTGGAGGACACTAAGTGGATGGTAAGGTGGATAAGTCTACTGGCGGCATCCATGATAGACTGAAGTGGGGATAGGTTGGCCAATAAGGACAAGGTTGCAATAGTCGAGAGAACCGTGACTGGATGAGTAACCTGGTGGTGTCTCTGGGTAAGAACGGACGTATTTAGGACATCTTCAGGCGGCTACGGTGGCCCATTGTGGACATCTTCAGGAGGCTAAGGTGGCCTATTGTGGACATCTTCAAGAGGCTATGGTGGCCCATTCTGGACATCTTCAGGAGGCTACGGTGGCCCATTCTGGACATCTTCAGGAGGCTACGGTGGCCCATTCTGGACATCTTCAGGAGACTACGGTGGCCCATTCTGGACATCTTCAGAAGGCTATGGTGGCCCATTCTGGACATCTTCAGGAGGCTATGGTGGTCCATTCTGGACATCTTCAGGAGGCTATGGTGGCCCATTCTGGACATCCTTCAGCATTACAATGACATAGCCGCCCTCACGTTAGGCATGACTATGTCTGTTCGGATCTGCCAGGCACCTCGCATCACAGCTGACATTGGTACTCTGTCATCTCAACCTCCTCATTGGGGACAACATACTTGTCAGTGTTCTCCGAGCCCCATCACCACAACACGTCCCACCAGTCGTAGCCGTGCAGCTGCCACATGACACATGCTTATTAGCAGGCTTTTCCCAAGCCATACGTGACAAACAGCGGAAGACGGAGCCGGAATATAATCAGAGCCTTGTCAGCCTCGCATGAAAAATACCAATTATACGTCTTCCACAGCGCCGAGCGGGAACATCGAGCTGCTTAACCCCCCTCGGAGCGATCTTCCCCCCCAGTCACACGGCAAGCCCAGCTGATATACTGAACACCCTCCAACGTGGAAGAACCCTTTAAATATATTTATATACCTTTCAGATCTTATGGAACTAATTGTACCGACAAATCACAGAACATCAGAAGGAAGCTGAGACATAAGAAGAGGCATTCATGGAGGACTTCATACCCGGAGCTGCTCTACACAACAACATGTTCATCAGTCATAATCTCTACATGAAACTAGAAATAATGACCAGATAACAGAGAGCCTCTTACATGGGGGGTCAGTGGGAAGAATGTCCCTTACATTGGGGGTCAGTGGGAAGAATGTCCCTTACATTGGGGGTCAGTGAGAAGAATGTCCCTTACATTGGGGATCAGTGGAAGAATGTCCCTTACATTGGGGGTCAGTGGGAAGAATGTCCCTTACATTGGTGGTCAGTGGGAAGAATGTCCCTTACATTGGGGGTCAGTGGGAAGAATGTCCCTTACATTGGGGGTCAGTGGGAAGAATGTCCCTTACATTGGGGGTCAGTGGGAAGAATGTCCCTTACATTGGGGGTCAGTGGGAAGAATGTCCCTTACATTGGTGATCAGTGGGAAGAATGTTCCTTACATTGGGGGTCAGTGGGAAGAATGTCCCTTACATTGGGGGTCAGTGGAAGAATGTCCCTTACATTGGGGATCAGTGGGAAGAATGTCCCTTACATTGGGGGTCAGTGGGAAGAATGTCCCTTACATTGGGGGTCAGTGGGAAGAATGTCCCTTACATTGGGGATCAGTGGGAAGAATGTCCCTTACATTGGTGATCAGTGGGAAGAATGTCCCTTACATTGGGGGTCAGTGGGAAGAATGTCCCTTACATTGGGGATCAGTGGGAAGAATGTCCCTTACATTGGGGGTCAGTGGGAAGAATATCCCTTACATTGGAGGTCAGTGGGAAGAATGTCCCTTACATTGGGGGTCAGTGGGAAGAATGTCCCTTACATTGGGGGGGTCAGTGGGAAGAATGTCCCTTACATTGGTGATCAGTGGGAAGAATGTTCCTTACATTGGGGGTCAGTGGGAAGAATGTCCCTTACATTGGAGGTCAGTGGGAAGAATATCCCTTACATTGGAGGTCAGTGGGAAGAATGTCCCTTACATTGGTGGTCAGTGGGAAGAATGTCCCTTACATTGGGGGTCAGTGGGAAGAATGTCCCTTACATTGGGGGTCAGTGGGAAGAATGTCCCTTACATTGGTGATCAGTGGGAAGAATGTTCCTTACATTGGGGGTCAGTGGGAAGAATGTCCCTTACATTGGGGGTCAGTGGGAAGAATGTCCCTTACATTGGAGGTCAGTGGGAAGAATGTCCCTTACATTGGGGGTCAGTGGGAAGAATGTCCCTTACATTGGTGGTCAGTGGGAAGAATGTCCCTTACATTGGGGGTCAGTGGGAAGAATGTCCCTTACATTGGGGGTCAGTGGGAAGAATGTCCCTTACATTGGGGGTCAGTGGGAAGAATGTCCCTTACATTGGGGGTCAGTGGGAAGAATGTCCCTTACATTGGGGGTCAGTGGGAAGAATGTCCCTTACATTGGGGGTCAGTGGGAAGAATGTCCCTTACATTGGTGATGAGTGGGAAGAATGTCCCTTACATTGGGGGGCAGTGGGAAGAATGTCCCTTACATTGGGGGTCATGTGGAAGAATGTCCCTTACATTGGTGATCAGTGGGAAGAATGTCCCTTACATTGGTGATCAGTGGGAAGAATGCCCCTTACATTGGGGTCAGTGGGAAGAATGTCCCTTACATTGGTGATCAGTGGGAAGAATGTCCCTTACATTGGTGATCAGTGGGAAGAATGTCCCTTACATTGGTGATCAGTGGGAAGAATGTCCCTTACATTGGGGGTCAGTGGGAAGAATTCCTCTTGCGCAATTTGGAAGAACACATTCCCAGCATCCTTTTAGACATGCATGCTCCTCACTGCTGGCCACTGGGTGCTGCAGATGCTGAGTTGAGCGACGTTCCCCGTGTGTACATCAGTCTGTCCAGCAGAAGCTGGTTGAAGGGATAAGCTGGAAATCCCGCATCTGATAAGCTCTTGCAGCCAATGGCTGTGAGCTCTGATCAGTGTATTCTGTATCACGGGGGAGAGATCACTGCGCCAACATCTCTTCTGTTGGTATGGCAATTTGTCTGTTTTTTTTTTTTGTTTAATCCGCTGGTGGGAGGGATGGGGTGGGTGTGGGGGGACAGGGGAGTCCCCTTGTCAAAATACAATAGCACATAGCGGGGGAGATCGCCCCACCAACATCTCTTGTGTGTGCTTGCACCTCTTCGGCGTGGTACCAGGTTTTAGCTGTGCAATCTGCTGATTGTTTGCTCCATTTTTCTCTCTAACAGTGTAATCAAGCCACTGGTCTGCAGATTGCACAGCTATAGTCTACACCACCCAGTGGCTAGCAGAGGGAGCAGCATGCATATCTAAAGGGATGCCAGGGATGTGTTCTTTCACATAATACTCAGGAAAAGCAGTACATTTCCATAGTTCCCCTCCCCCAATGATCAGACTATACAATGTAACTTTGTAGAAGGGGGAGGGGTCGTTTCCTCAGTCTCCCCTCCCCCAGTGATCAGACTGTACATTGTAACTTTGTAGAAGAAGGAGGAGTCATTTCCTCAGTCCCCTCCCCTCCCCAGTGATCAGACTGTACATTGTAACTTTGTAGCAGGAGGAGGAAGCATTTCCTCAGTCTCCTCTGCACACGATGACGGGGGGGGGGGGGGGTCACTGATCCTGGAGCGGGGGAGGACGACACTGTACATGATGACAGTTCCTGATCCTGGGGGGGGGTCACTGTACATGATGACAGTTCCTGATCCTGGGGGGGGAGGGGAGGGGGGGACGACACTGTACATGATGACAGTTCCTGATCCTGGGGGGGGGGTGTCACTGTACATGATGACGGTTCCTGATCCTGGGGGGGGGGGGGGTCACTGTACATGATGACAGTTCCTGATCCTGGAGGGGGGTCACTGTACATGATGACAGTTCCTGATCCTGGGGGGGGGGAGGGACGACGACACTGTACATGATGACAGTTCCTGATCCTGGGGGGGGGGGTCACTGTACATGATGACAGTTCCTGATCCTGGGGGGGGTCACTGTACATGATGACAGTTCCTGATCCTGGGGGGGGGGGGGTCACTGTACATGATGACAGTTCCTGATCCTGGGGGGGGTCACTGTACATGATGACAGTTCCTGATCCTGGGGGGGGGGGGGTCTCAGTTCCTGAGCTCTGTGTGCGCCCCTTGTGTTCTCCTTACAGTGTACATCCAGATATAGGAAGAGGAGGGGGGGCAGTTGTGTGGCCCCCTGTATATATGGAACCCCTGATGTGGCCCCTGCCTCGTCCCATCACTCCCCCCCCCCACTGTCTCTGCATATGAAACACAGGAAACATCTGCGCGGGTAGAGGAGAGCGCCACTTCCTGCTCTGTAATACAAACTGACCATGCCGGCCTCTCCGGGGGACTCCAGGCTGGACTCCCATCCTTCACCAGCAGAATACACAGTGCAGTGAGTGGTGTCCTGGAGCCCAGCCTGTGGCCCTTTGGTGTGTGCCGGACGGCCCCGGGCCCCAGCAGCCGGTAGAGGGAGCTCTGATTTGTGGAGGGGCCTTTAATAGCAGGGATGTCTAGCAGTCTCAGGTGATGTCCCCCGTCTCTGACTGTCCCCTACAGCAGTCCCCCCATTACTGAGTCCACCCCCATCACATCAGAGTCCCCCCCCATCGCATCAGAGAGTCCCCCCCCATCACATTAGAGTCCCCCCCCATCGCATCAGAGGAGTCCCCCCCCCTATCACATTAGAGTCCCCCCCATCACATCAGAGTCCCCCCCCCCCCATCCAGTGGTGTATTTAGATTTTGTGCTGCCCTAGGCAACACAAAAATTTTTCGTCCCCCCCCCATGAGAGAACAAGATAAGTGTGTGTATATATGATAATCTCTCTCTCTCTCCACCCCTTTCCTCCCCCCCCTCCCCTCCCCCCCCCTCTCTCCTCTCCCCCCCCCTCCCTCCCCCCCCCTCTCCCCCCCTCTTCCTCTCCCCCCCCCTATTCCCCCTCTCTCCCTTGCTCTCCCCCCCTCTCCCCTCTCTCTCTCTCCCCCCTCCCTCTTCCCTTTCTCTCCCCCCTCCCTTCCCTCTCTCCCCCCCCTCTCCCTCTCCCTCTCCCCCCCTCTCCCTCTCTCTCCCCCCCCCTCCCTCTCTTCCCCTTTCTCCCCCCTCCCTCCCTCTCTTCCCTTTTCCCCCCCTTTCTCTTCCCCCTCCCCCCCCTCCCTCTCTTCCCTCCCCCCCCCCTCCCTCTCTTCCCTCCCCCCCCTCTCGCTCTCTTCCCCCTCTCCCCCCCTCTCCCTCTCTCTCCCCCCCCCTCTCTCTTCCCTCTCCCCCTCCCTCTCTCCCCCCTCCCCCTCCCCTCTCTCTTTCCCCCCCCCCCCTTTTCCCTCTCCCCCCCCCTTTTCCCTCTCCCCCCCTTCTCTCCCTTTCTCTTCGTTTCTCACATACATTGTATGGGGCTGCACACACACACCTCCTCCAAGGGCTGCTGATCTCCGCACAGCAGGAGGAGGAAGGGGGGGAGGTGTGTGCAGCCCCATAGGATCTGTCAGTGCAGGGAGGGAGGCAGGGAGATCCCACAGACCACAGCACAGCTCACCTCCTCCGGGCTCTTTCCTTTCCTCTCCCTGCTCCAGGCTGTCCCCTGGTCCCGGCTCCTCAGCTGCTGGAGGGAGAGGTATGGGAGCATCGCTCTGCAACTGCCCTCCCCCACATCGATCCTCCTGCTGTCCGGGCCACTGCAGGGGTACCGGTGCGACCCCTCTGGGGAAGGGGGGGCGTGACGCCCCCTTAAAAATTACCGCCCTAGGCAAACGCCTTGTTTGCCTCGCAGTAGATACGCCCCAGCCCCCATCACATCAGAGTCCCCCCCATCACATCAGAGTCCCCCCCCATCACATCAGAGGTCCTGGCTCCCATCACATCACAGGTCCTTCCATGACATCAGAAGTTCCCCATCACATCAGAATCCCCCATCACAGCAGACATCCCCCCATAACACCAGAGGCCCCCCCATAATATCAGAGTCCCTCCATCATCACATCAGAGTCCCAATCACATCAGAGTGCCCCCCCCATCACATCAGAGTCCCAATCACATCAGAGTGCCCCCCCCCATCACATCAGAGTCCCCCCATCATCACATCAGAGATCGTTCTTTACATCAGAGTCCCCCATCACATCAGAGGTCCCCCGTCATAGTAAAGATCCCCCCATCATATCAGAGTCACCCCATCACATCAGAGTCCCTCTTTACATCAGAGTCCCCATCACATCAGAGGTCCCCCGTCATAGTAAAGATCCCCCATCATATCAGAGTCACCCCATCACATCAGAGTCCCTCTTTACATCAGAGTCCCCCATCACATCAGGGCCTTCCCTTCACATCAGAGGTCCTCTCTTCACATCAGAGTCCCCCATGACATCCAAGCCCCCCTCTTCCCAGCAAAGATCCCCCATCACATCAGAGGTCTCCCTATCAAAGCAGGCATTACCCAGTCACATCAGAGGTCCCCCCTTCATGTCAGAGATCCCCCACAACATTACAGGTTACATCAGTAGTCTCTATCATGTCAAAGGTCCCTCCATCATATCAGAGGTCCCCCCATCACATCAGAGCCCCCTTTATGTTAGAATCCCCCCTTCATGTCAAAGACTCCAAACACACCAGAGACCCTCTTATACATGAGAGCTCCCATCACATCAGGGTAACCCCCCCCCCCATTACAGCCCCCCCACCCCGCTATTCCACGCATGTCATCACAGGACCATAGCCCAGCAGAGAAAGCTGATCCCCCCCCGATGATGTCAGAAGACCAGGAACACCACTGGAAGCCGAATGTACAGGTAAGAGGGGGGGGGGGGGGAGGGGGATAGGTTCCTCTATAAGTTATTCCAGATTCAAGCTTTTGGGAAGATCCTCCTTTACACCCTCCTTTATATCCTCCTTTATACCCTCCTTTATACCCTCCTTTATATCCTCCTTTAGATCCTCCTTTATATCCTCCTTTATACCCTCCTTTATATCCTCCTTTAGATCCTCCTTTATACCCTCCTTTATACCCTCCTTTATACCTCCTTTATACCCTCCTTTATATACCCTCCTTTATACCCTCCTTTATATCCTCCTTTATACCCTCCTTTATATCCTCCTTTATACCCTCCTTTACATCCTCCTTTACACCCTCCTTTAGATCCTCCTTTATACCCTCCTTTATACCCTCCTTCATACCCTCTTTAGACCCTCCTTTATACCCTCCTTTAGATCCTCCTTTATACCCTACTTTATACCCTCCTTTATATCCTCCTTTAGATCCTCTTTATACCCTCCTTTAGATCCTCCTTTAGATCCTCCTTTATACCATCCTTTAGATCCTCCTTTAGATCCTCCTTTATATCCTCCTTTATACCTCCTTTATATCCTCCTTTATACCCTCCTTTATACCCTCCTTTATACCCTCCTTTATATCCTCCTTTATACCCTCCTTTACATCCTCCTTTATACCCTCCTTTAGATCCTCCTTTATACCCTCCTTTATATCCTCCTTTAGATCCTCCTTTATACCCTCCTTTATATCCTCCTTTAGATCCTCCTTTATATCCTCCTTTATACCCTCCTTTATATCCTCCTTTAGATCCTCCTTTATACCCTCCTTTATACCCTCCTTTATACCCTCCTTTAGATCCTCCTTTATACCCTCCTTTATACCCTCCTTTATATCCTCCTTTATACCCTCCTTTATACCCTCCTTTATACCCTCCTTTATACCCTCCTTTATACCCTCCTTTATACCCTCCTTTACATCCTCCTTTATACCCTCCTTTAGATCCTCCTTTATACCCTCCTTTATATCCTCCTTTAGATCCTCCTTTATACCCTCCTTTATATCCTCCTTTAGATCCTCCTTTATACCCTCCTTTATACCCTCCTTTATACCCTCCTTTAGATCCTCCTTTATACCCTCCTTTATACCCTCCTTTATACCCTCCTTTATACCCTCCTTTATATCCTCCTTTATACCCTCCTTTATACCCTCCTTTATACCCTCCTTTATACCCTCCTTTATATCCTCCTTTATACCCTCCTTTATACCCTCCTTTATATCCTCCTTTATACCCTCCTTTATACCCTCCTTTATATCCTCCTTTATACCCTCCTTTACATCCTCCTTTACACCCTCCTTTAGATCCTCCTTTATACCCTCCTTTATACCCTCCTTCATACCCTCTTTAGACCCTCCTTTATACCCTCCTTTAGATCCTCCTTTATACCCTACTTTATACCCTCCTTTATATCCTCCTTTAGATCCTCTTTTATACCCTCCTTTAGATCCTCCTTTAGATCCTCCTTTATACCATCCTTTAGATCCTCCTTTAGATCCTCCTTTATATCCTCCTTTATACCCTCCTTTATATCCTCCTTTATACCCTCCTTTATACCCTCCTTTATATCCTCCTTTATACCCTCCTTTATACCCTCCTTTATATCCTCCTTTATACCCTCCTTTATACCCTCCTTTATACCCTCCTTTATATCCTCCTTTATACCCTCCTTTATACCCTCCTTTACATCCTCCTTTATACCCTCCTTTAGATCCTCCTTTATACCCTCCTTTATACCCTCCTTCATACCCTCTTTAGACCCTCCTTTATACCCTCCTTTATATCCTCCTTTATACCCTCCTTTAGATCCTCCTTTATACCCTCCTTTAGATCCCTCCTTTATACCCTCCTTTAGATCCTCCTTTATACCCTACTTTATACCCTCCTTTATACCCTCCTTTAGATCCTCTTTTATACCCTCCTTTAGATCCTCCTTTAGATCCTCCTTTAGATCCTCCTTTATACCATCCTTTAGATCCTCCTTTAGATCCTCCTTTAGATCCTCCTTTATACCCTCCTTTATACCCTCCTTTAGATCCTCCTTTATACCATCCTTTATACCATCCTTTAGATCCTCCTTTATACCCTCCTTTATACCCTCCTTTATACCCTCCTTTATACCCTCCTTTAGATCCTCCTTTATACCCTCCTTTAGATCCTCCTTTAGATCCTCCTTTATACCCTCCTTTAGATCCTCCTTTATACCCTACTTTATACCCTCCTTTATATCCTCCTTTAGATCCTCTTTTTTACCCTCCTTTAGATCATCCTTTAGATCCTCCTTTAGATCCTCCTTTATACCATCCTTTAGATCCTCCTTTATATCCTCCTTTATACCCTTTATACCTTTATACCATCCTTTATACCCTCCTTTAGATCCTCCTTTATACCCTCCTTTAGATCCTCCTTTAGATCCTCCTTTAGATCCTCCTTTAGATCCTCCTTTATACCCTCCTTTAGATCCTCTTTTAGATCCTCCTTTAGACCCTCCTTTATATCCTCCTTTATACCATCCTTTACACCCTCCTTTAGATCCTCCTTTATACCCTCCTTTATACCCTCCTTTAGATCCTCCTTTATACCCTCCTTTATATACTCCTTTAGATCCTCCTTTAGATCCTCCTTTATACCCTCCTTTGCACCATCCCTTGGTTCCACCCCCTACCCACCTCTGAGCATCATCCCTTGGTTCCACCCCCTACCCACCTCTGAGCACCATCCCTTGGTTCCACCCCCTACCCACCTCTTACCACCATCCTTTGGTTCCACCCCCTACCCACCTCTTACCACCTTCCCTTGGTTCCACCCCCTACCCACCTCTTACCACCATCCCTTGGTTCCACCCCCTACCCACCTCTTACCACCATCCCTTGGTTCCACCCCCTGCCCAGTACCACCCCTTTTAGAGAACTAAGTATCATTTTGTGGTGCTAAATAAGTTGTATGGAATTTGATAATGACAACAGCAGAAAAGCAGTAAAATAGATCACCTGCAGCCAGCAACAATAGATTCCCCTCCAGCAACAATAGATGCCCCACACAGCAATAGATCCCCCTCCAGCAACAATAGATGCCCCACACAACAATACATCCCCCAGCAACAATGGACCCCAACCCAGCAACAATAGTTTCCCCCAGCAACCTAGACCCACTCCAGCAACAATAGATCCTACCACAGCAACAATAGATCCCCCAAACAACAATAGAGCCACACAGCAACAATGGACTACCCACAACAAAATACCCCCCAGCAACAAAAGATCTACCCCAGAAACATTAGATACCCCTAACAGCAGCAACAGATCTCCCAGCAGCCAGCCTCAATAAACTCTCCAGCAGCCAGCAACCTCCCCCTCAACAGTAGATCCCTAAAAGCAACATAAGACCCCCCCAGCAGCAATAAATCCCCTCCAGCAACAATAGACCCTCACACAAAAACATCCGCACCAGTGACAATAGAGCCTCACACAGCAAGAACGGACCACCCACAACAAAATACCACCCCAGAAACAATAGATCCACCCGGCAGCAATAGAACCCAACCGACAACAATAGACCCTCACACAAAAACATCCCCACCAGTGACAATAGATCCCCCACATAACAATAGAGCCCTCGCACAGCAAGAATGGACCACCCACAACAAAATACCACCCCCAGCAACAAAAGATCCACCCCAGCAACATTGGACGACGCTGGCAGCAGTAACAGATCTCCCAGCAGCCAGCATCAATAGACTCTCCAGCAGCCAGCAACCTCACCCAACAGCAGATCCCTAACAGAAACATAAGACACCCCCAGCAGCAATAGATCCCCTTCAGCAACAATAGACCCTCACACAAAAATATCCCCACCAGTGACAATAGATTCTCCCACACAACAAAAGAGCCCTCCCACAGCAACAATGGACCACCCCCAACAAAATACCCCCTCCAGCAACAAAAGATCCACCCCAGCAACATTAGACACCCCTAGCAGCAGCAACCGATCTTTCAGCAGCCAGCATCAATAGACTCTCCAGCAGCCAGCAACTCCCCTTCAACAGTAGATCCCTAACAGAAACATAAGACCCCCCAGCATCAATATGTCCCCTCCAGCAACAATAGATCCTCACCCAAAAACATCCGCACCAGTGACAGTAGATTCTCCCACACAACAATAGAGCCCTCACACAGCAACAATGGACCACTCCCAACAAAATACCCCTCCAGCAACAAAAGATCCTCACAGAAAAACATCCGCACCAGTGACAATAGATCCCCCAGCTGTCAGCTTCAATAGTCCCTCCGCACACCCCACACCCCTTGCCATTACATACAGTCAGTGCTGGAGGTGCCGGTACTGCGTTCCCGCTCGAAGAAAAGCCCTGAATATAACCATAGAACCATGGAGCAGCACAGTGGCTAAGTGGTTAGCACTTCCGCCTGGCAGTACTGGGGTTGTTGGTTTGAATCCCAACCACGGCACCACTTGCCTGGAGTTTGCATGTTCTCCCTGTGCCTGCGTGGTTTCCCTCCGGTTTCCTCCCAAAGACATGCTGGTAGGTGAATTGGCTCCTGTCTAAATTGGCCCTAGTATGTGTATGTATGAATGTGAGTTAGGGGCCTTAGATTGTACGCTCCTCGGGGGCGGGGACTGATGTGAATGTACAATATATATGTAGAACGCTGCATAAATAGACGGCGCTATATAAGTACCTGAAATATAAATTGCTCCGCCCACTGTCCCGAAATGACAAACAATCCTGTTATTTTGGAGGGATGGAGGGATGCGATTGGATGAGACACGCTCTTTCTGAAAATACCCCAGCGTCTTGAAATCTGAAAAGACCTTTTTTTTCCCCCAGCGTCTTGAAATGGATCATTTAGGATCCTCATCCTTTTATTTTCCCCAGCATTGGTCATGTGATTTGCCTCATCCTTTTATTTTCCTCCAGCATTGGTCATGTGATTTGCCTCATCCTTTTATTTTCCCCCAGCATTGGTCATGTGATTTGCCTCATCCTTTTATTTTCCTCCAGCATTGGTCATGTGATTTGCCTCATCCTTTTATTTTCCTCCAGCATTGGTCATGTGATTTGCCTCATCTTTTTATTTTCCCCCAGCATTGGTCATGTGATTTGCCTCATCCTTTTATTTTTTTCCCCAGCGTTGGTCATGTGATCCGCCCCAGAGGAGTAAGTCGCCCGCCTTCCGCTTCTTAAAACGCAGAATATTACAAGGAACGCCAAGCCTGCATCCCATCCCCCGACCCCAGCGCCGTCGTACGACGAAGCTCACCTTCCCTCTCCTGCGGCAGGTCATGCAGGATTTTCTGGTAACATTCATACTGCGCCGTCATGATCTTGTTCCTCGTGACACCGAATGCCAAGACGTCTGCCTCGAAGGTGTCCTCCGCCTCCTCCGCCGGCCCCTGGATATTGGTGGATGCGGTCTAACGAAAAAAAAAAAATGCAACAGTTAGATGAGCAGATAATCGGCGACATTCACGATCGATATACACAGCCATTGGTACGTACTACCCAGGGGCGGACTCACCATTTGGAAACTCAGGCACTGCCCGAGGGCCCGGGGTCAGTAGGGGGCCCCATGAGATGCCCCTGGTACCTTTTTCATAGGCTTTTTTGAGTTTGGGTAAGGACACAGGGGCCCCATGATCCCCTATTGCCTGGGGGCCCCATGAGTTGTCAGTCCGCCCCTGGTACTACCATGTGACCCGCGGTCAGGTGCGTTGCTTTGGCCAATCACTGTCAGGGCGCAGTGCATTGTGGGCGAACACATGAACGGCCGATGTTTGAGTTGAACATTAGTTCCGATAAGCCCCCCTCCCCCTCCCGGCGGATCCCCACAACCATCAAGCCCAAGCCTAATACTGGTAATGGCGGTGATCTTATAGTGGGACTGTGATAGTGCGGCAGACAATCTGGCGCTAGCTGACGCTGGCTGGGAGGTACACCAACCGACTGACACTGACATCAATAGTGACACTCAGTGGTGTACCGAGGCAGGTGCAGGGGGTGCAGCCCCTACTGGGTGACACCAACCGCACGGGGTGACACAGGACCTTCTCCACGAAAAGGAAAGTTGTAAAGCAAGCCGACGATCCCCGCAGGATGGATCGAATCTGCGAATTGGGGAGCATAATGGATCGGACCAGGGGCGGACTGACCATTCGAGCACTGGGGCAATGCCCGAGGGCCCGGGGTCAGTAGGGGGCCCCATGAGATGCCCCTGGTACCATAATCCCCTATTGCCCGGGGGCCCCATGAGTTGTCAGTCCGCCCCTGGATCGGACTCCCATCCATTAGGCTCAATCCGCAGATCCGATCCATTCTGCGGGGATCGTCGGAGGGGGTGTCACCAAGTGTGATCGCACCGGGTGACACCAACCCTAGGGACGCCTCTGGTGACACTACTACAGTGATCAGTACTGAACACGGGACTAATGACACCGGCTGGGAAGGGGTTAATATCTAGGGGCAATCAAGGGGTTAATTGTGTGTTCAACATTGCGGCACGCGTGTAACGTGTTGCTTGTACTTTACTGCACGCCTGTATATTCTCCTTGAATCGCTGTTCCCTGTACACAGAGTCGTGTGTTTTGTAAAGCGCTGTGATTGGACACCGACGATCGGCTGAAATCAGCTTCCAAAGTTGTGCTGTGTGCAGTCACAGGGCGGGTGTGCATCGGGAGCGAGAACGCACGCGCCCCCAAACCCATAGGGAGGCCGATCATGTATACAGTATATGCGTGATCGTGTCTGTACATGCCACCCGCTCACAGTAAATGGACTGTGGGCTGCACAAAGACCCAACCACAACCCTACGAAACACCTTTGGGATGAATTAAACCGCCAACTGTGAGCCAGGTCTTCTCATCCACCATCAGAACCTGACCTTATGAATGGGGACAAATTCCCCCAGACACCCTCCAAAATCTTGTGGACAGTGTTCCGGGAAGAGTGGAAGATGGTACAGCCATAAAGGAGGGTAATTGCATGGTGGAACTCCATAATAATGGCCATGGTTTTGTGTTCACATGCCCAGCTCCATAAAGACATGGATGACCAGTTTGGTGTGGAGCAGCTCAAGTGTCCTGTACAGAGCCCTGACCTCAACCCTACTGAACACCTTCAGGATGAATCAGAATGTCGATTGTGATTCAGGTCTTCTCATCCAACATCAGAACCTGACCTCACAAATGGTCACAAATTCCTACAGACACCTTCCAAAACATTGTGGAAAGTCTTCCCAGAAGATTTGAGGATGCTATAGCCACATGGGGGCCAACTCCATGTTACTGACCATGATTTTGGAATGGGATGTCCAACTAGCTCACATAGGTGTGGTGGCAAGGCCAGTTTGGTGAAGACCCTTTTCTGTTCCACCATGACTGTGCCCCTGTGTACAAATCCAACTCCATGAAGACATTGTGTGACCAGTTTGCTGTGGAGCAACTCAAGTGTCCTGCACAGAGCTTTGACCTCAACCCTACTGAACACCTTTGGGATGCATTGGAACTGTGAGCCAGCTCCATAAACACATGGTTTGGTCAGTTAGGTGTGGAGAAACGTGAGTGTCCTGTACAGAGCCCTGACCTCAATCTACTAATCACCTTTGGGATGAATTGGAACGCTGACTGTGATCCAGGTCTTCTCATCCAACATCACTACCTGACCTCACAAATTCCCAGAGACACCTTCCAAATTCTGATGGAAAGCCTTCCCAGAGGAGTGGAGGATGTTAGAGCCACAAAGGGGGCCAACTCTATATTAATGGTCATAGGGATGGGGGAACAACTCCATATTAGTGGTCATATTTTATCATCATCAATATTATCATCATCATCATCAATATCATCATCATCACTATCAGCATCCTCATCATCAATATTATCATCATCAATATCAGCATCCTCATCATCATCAATATCATCATCATCATCAATCATCATCAATCATCATCAATCATCATCAATATTATCAATCATCATCAATATCATCATCACTATCAGCATCCTCATCAATATCATTATCATCATCATCATCATCAATATCATCAATTATCATCATCAATCATCATCATCAATATCATTATCATCAATCATCATCAATATCATCATCAATATCATCATCATCAATATCATCATCATCAATATCATCAATCATTATCATAATCAATATCATCAATCATCATCATCAATATCATCATCATCATCATCAATCATCATCATCATCAATCATCATCAATATTATCATCATCATCATATCATCATCATCATCATATCAGCATCCTCATCATCAATATTATCATCATCAATATCAGCATCCTCATCATCATCAATATCATCATCATCATCAATCCTCATCAATCATCATCAATATCATCATCATCAATCATCATCATCATATTATCAATCATCATCAATATCATCATCACTATCAGCATCCTCATCAATATCATTATCATCAATCATCATCAATATCATCATCAATCATCATCAATATCATCATCATCAATATCATCAATCATTATCATAATCAATATCATCAATCATCATCATCATCATATCATCATCATCATCATCATCAATCATCATCATCAATCATCATCAATATTATAAATCATCATCAATATCATCATCACTATCAGCATCCTCATCATCATCAATATCATTATCATCAATCATCGTCAATATCATCATCATCATCATCATCATCATCAATCATCATCATCATCATATCATTATCATCATATCATCATCATCATCATCATCATCATCAATCATTATCATCAACAGTATCATCATCATCATCATCATCATCATATCATCAATATCAATATCATCATCATCAATCATCATCAATATCATCATCACTATCAGCATCCTCATCATCATCAATCATCATCATCATCATATCATCATCATCATCATCATCATCATCAATTCATCATCATCATCATCATCAATATTATCAATCATTATCAATATCATCATCACTATCAGCATCCTCATCATCATCAATATCATTATCATCAATCATCGTCAATATCATCAATCATCATCAATATCATTATCATCAATATCATCATCAATATCATCATTATCATCATCAGTATCATCATCAATCATCATAAATATCATCACCACTATCAGCATCCTCATCATCATCAATATCATCATCATCATCATCAATATCATCATCATCATCATCATCATATCATCATCATCATCAATATCATCATCATCATATATCATCATCATCAATATCATCATCATCATCATCAATATCATCATCATCATCATCATATCATCATCATCATCATCATCAATATCATCATCATCATCAATATCATCATCATCAATATCATCATCATCATCATCATCATCAATATCATCATCATCAATATCATCATCATCATCATCATCATCAATATCATCATCATCATCAATATCATCATCAATCATCATCATCATCCTCCTCCTATTACTTACTGCTGTGATGAAGCTGAGGATGTAGACGAGGAGAAGATATTTTTCCATCTTGCAGGAAATCCCTTTTAAT